GCAGATCCTTAGCTTGCTAGCACAGATCCTTCATCGCGCTGGCACAGACTTTGTGGCTTCCACCACCGACCTGTGGGCCTTCCCAGTGCAGATCCATGAAACAGGCCTATATGAGACATTGTTGTGGGTTCTAGGCCACCAGTCCTCCTGGGGGACATTGCTATGGGCTCTAGGTCTTCAGCTGGACTTAGGTAGGACATTGCTGTGGGATCCAGACCCTCAGCTGAATTTGCTGGTCTTTAGTAGGTGGACAGATTTCCTGCACTCTCTTTGTATATCACTTTTTGGGTGACTGTTATAAAATAATCCTGTAAACTATGTGTCCTGTATTATAACCTTGCACACCCTAGACTACAGCAGCCCTATTCCATGTATAGTCAGACCAGCTGTTAGGCCTTTACCGCATGAATTTGTGTAGACACAAAAGAGAGGAGAGAAATAGAAGGATAGAAGGGATGTTTGGAGCCTTCTCCAAGGGACATTTAAGGTAGATTTCTTAGGAAATTACCAGTTCCAGAGGGAAGAGAAATTGTTGGTTGTTTGTAATAAACCAGTAGGTGTACAACAAATCGGGCGCTGTATGCCGTAAGCCTGCTGTTTGGTGTTTTGGGAAATGTCTCTATGCCGTGTATTTTTGGTGTTGCAGGTGAGCCTGAATTTAAGTATGTCGGGAACATGCACGGTAACGAGGCGGTTGGGCGAGAGCTGCTCATCTTCCTGGCCCAGTACCTGTGCAATGAGTACCAGGAGGGGAACGAGACCATTGTGAACCTGATCCACAGCACTCGGATCCACATCATGCCGTCCCTGAACCCCGATGGCTTCGAGAAGGCAGCGTCGCAGGTGGGTGGGAGGTGGGTGGCGCTAGGCACGCTGCCCTCGTCGTGGTCTTTTAGCGTGCTCGTACACGTGTGCTCCTCTGTACGTAGTGCCTCTGAGAAAGGTTGCAGATGGCGCAACCGAGGGCACAGGCGACCCCGTGTTCAGCTTGCGGTTAAGGAAGATCGGGGTGTGTCTTGTATGGGTGCCAGCTGCCCACGGGGAATGTAGTCATTAAATATGGCAAACGTGCACTGTTAAAGAATAAAAATCAAAAGTAAAATTAAAAAAGACATCTGGATCGCCAATGCCTACTGAAAAGAAAACAAAAGAATATAAAAGGATAAGGTAGTTTCTTCAGCAGAGACTGCGCGTGGGAAAATTTGTTAAGTTAGCATTTTAGTAATGTTTTGTTTGCATTGTTAAAAAAAATAACATTTGTTCCCATTTGTGATCTGGTGAATTGCCTTCTAAAAATGCAGTTTTTAGCGCGCTACCAATGTCCATGGATGAGTCGGTGTCATAGCGCCCTCTACTGATGTCGAACAAGAATTACTTTTGGCCAGATCAATATTTTACTGATTTTTTTTTTTTAATCTTTGATTTTAGGAATGATGAAGAAAGTTAAAAATAAACGGCAAAAGGTGACCATATCTATAAACTAAAAATACTTGTGTACACTTTAACTGCTATGGTGAAAAGTCAGTGACTTTTAAGAGTAGATAATATGGCCTCTTTCCATTTTTAGTGGGCAGGGATGGGGCATTATATTTGCTGCTTCTGCAGTTTGGGATAACGTTCTTATTTTATAGGAACAGATTAAAGTAAATATTACGTGTGTGTGAAGTTAAGAGAACCAAGATAGCTCCAGTAGGGTGAATAGTTGTCAATAAGTATAGCATTATGTAATTCCTACAGTTATGAGAGAATAATCCTACTGACCTAGAAAAGTAAAATATTTAATATTTTAGGTTACATTCATAACTAATTGGATAGAGATTTTCTTATTCTTTTCTGTCTTACAGATTTTTTTATTTCTCATAGTCTGAGGAATCTAAGCATATATAAATTCAAACATAAGGTAGTTTTTCATGTAATAGATTTGATGTAATTTAATACTAAATAAGAAATTAATTTTATAAAGTAAAACTAATCTTGAAAGTATAGTGTTTCAACTGTATCATTAGTGAAGAGTTAAAGTGGATAGAAATTATTCAGTCTTTTTAAAATCTTGGAAACTCTAGAGCTTGTGGTTTTTAAGAATGTTTCTAAAATTTAAATTTAAAAATAGAATTATGTGCAGAATTATACATACTTAGGAGGCACAGTGTGATATTTTGATACATGCATATACTGTGCAACATTAAATTAGAGTAAAAATATCCACCTCTTCAAATCTTATTTCTGTTGGGTGAAAATATTAAAAATCCTTTCTTTAAGATTTTGAAATAGAATTCAGTTTTTGGATGAACACTTATAAGAGGGGTACATGTTATTAAAATATCTTGTTTTCAAGTCTCTGATCTTACTTGAAAAATATAAAAATAGAGGAAATGTGCATTTTACTTGAATGTAATTGTAGAGTGATGTGCTTTCATCTGATAAAATCTCTTACATATTATTGT